GCCTCTCCCCAATTGCCAGTGAGGAGATGGGTGATGGGCAGAGGTAGCCCGTCCTGGGGGATTGCATTACGTCTTTTGCTGGGCTGTTTGATTTGATCTGGGGTAACCAGGGCTTAAATTTTCATAGAGTATTTCCCAGAGCCGCCCCTCATCCCATGCCCTCCCCCATTCGGGGCTCTGGGCTTCAGCAGCGGGGCACCAGAGCTCGGGGCTTCAGCCCCGTGGAGTGGGGTGCGCCAGGGCTCGGGGCTCCTACCCTGTGGGTTTGAAAATATTTCCCGGAGCTCTGCTCCGGACAGCTGCGGCTGAATTTAAGTTCTGGAGGTAACAGAGAGGTTGATTGATGTGTTTTTAAAAGAGAGTCAAGGGCAGGTAGAGTGCTGGATGGGGGTGTCTCTGTTGCAGAGGAGCAGAAATCCGGTGACACACATACGCACTGTAAGTATCTGGCATTTGGGTAACCCAAAACGAACTGCACGCTTCCTCTACTGAGGGAAGAAATGTTTCACTGGACGTGCCAGGGCAGAATCACAACTGACTCAGTACTTTCCAATCTCGCCGTATCCAGCCTCCAGTCTAGCACAGGTCTTGTTGCCAGACAGCTCTCTCCCAATTAGCAAGCCACAAACTGGTTTATCAGTGACGTGAATCCTAACAAGACTAGGACAACATGAGGCTTGGGTTGGCGGGATCTCTGGCTTTGAAAGGTTAGAGGGAACAAGCGATGCACAGTCTGTCCCAGCAGCTGGAGGGAGATGGAAGACAAGATGGTGTAAATGGGAATAACGCTACTGAGGTTACTTCCGTTTACAACAGCTGAGGCTTTTGCCCTGTCACTTCCAATCTTATCCTATGATCCCTAAGACTTGGTCTCCACTTAAAACTGACACCGACACAGCTGTTTTAGTTATGAGTGTGATTGTTTTTTATTGATATAGCTATGCCAGTACAAGCTTTAGTGTAGACACACTTATACCAGCATATGGGGGCTTTTCCCAGCATAGCTTATGTCCCTTGGGGAACAGGTATGAGCGGTGCCAACAGACGCACTTTTATGCCTGTATAAACTGCGTCTCCACTGGGAGGGTTTGCAGGTGTAGCTATGCCAGCAAAACTTTTTGAGTGTAGACAAAATCAAAGAGAGCAGCAAATAAATATTTCAATAATATGCAGTTGGGAATACGCCTCGCAAATACAAAATGGAGTGTATTTCAGCCTTGTGTTGGCATAAAGCGGTACACTTCCTAGCATTTCTTGCCACCTTCTGTCCTAATTCGTTGTGTGGTGCTACTTTACATTGGGAAACAGCTGCCATATTCCCCCCAGAGCTGGCTGCATTTCAGTGTTGAACAATTTCTGTTTAAGTGCTTTGACAGCTCTTGTGATGAAAGGCATTATAGAAAAACATGAGACTTGTACTGTTAATGCATCATCCCATCACATAATGTCGATAAATACACAGACAAGCTGTTTAGAAGGGGCCAGTGCCATATCTTAGCAAGAACATCCGTCTCCTGGCAAGAAAAAAAATCCAGCCTTGTTTAGCAAGATGTTACTGAAGGGTCACACATTTCGTAGTTTCTGTTGGCTGAACGCATTGCACACACCAAGGGCTTCTTGTCTTCTTTAACCCCCCCCCCCCCCCAGCAGCTTTCTCGCTCTCACATCCTCCTGTGTTTCAGGAACTCCCTGCAACCCTCCTACTGCCTTCCTCATTCCTGGCACTCTGGGTGCCCCTTTTCCCCACTGCCAAGGGCTCTGTGTTTCCCCCACCACCCAGTCCTCACTCCACCACATGGCAGGGGCTCCGTGTGTCTCCCATTCCCCCTGCTCCTGTTTTAACCTACCTATGTCGAGAGGGTCACACACTTCATTGCTTCTGTTGGCCAAGCTTGAATCCCCCCATGTGTGCCCTGCCCGACGCACACACTTTGTAATTTAAGTTGTTTCTTTTCTGTCTGTCTCAGAGATGTCCAGGGGTCCCCATTTCAAGTGCCATTGGGAGGATGGGCAGAGCCTAGATGGGGATGTTGCCACACTGGAGGGTGTTAATAACTCCCATCAAAGAGGTCTTTGATCTATAGACAATTCCAGCTGATGGGTGTGCTAACCAGATGCCATAGGGCTCGGTGCGTCCCCTGCTCCCCACTTCTGGCTTTATGATTTTCCCCAAAATCAATAGAATTCTGCCCACTGGTGCCTGGAACATTCCTGGACATTTTGAAATTGATCGGATGCGGCATTCAAAAGTTACCATCGGAGAAATGCCCTCACGTTGAACGTAGGCCTCGCACTTCACTAAGGCCTGGTCTACACTTAAATTAAGTGTAACCACCTAGCTACATCCCTCGGGGCTGTGAAAATGTTTTGCCCTGAGCATTGTAGTTAGGTCGATCGAACCCTCAGTGAAGACACAGCTAGGAATTCTTCCACGGACTTGGATACCGCCGCTCGGAGAGGTGGATGAACTACATTGATGGATGGAACCGTCGATGTAGGAAGCGTCTACACTATGGTGCTACAGCAGCACGGGTGCAGCACCGTAGCTGTGCCATTAGCAGCGATAGCAAAGCAGGTTTGCGGGTATCGTTTTGTTTCGTGCTTGTCTGAGCAGTGAAGCACGTGGGTTTTGGTAAAGTATTAAAGAAGGGAAATCAATGGTGTCTCAGCGTGGAACACGAGAGCCGTCCATCATACCAGCTTTTCCATGTGTTCCATTAGCATTGCCTTGCGCAAGGTACACTCTACAGGTGCATTCCAAGCTGTGCCATGGGCTAGCCAGAGTGCCACTTGGATTCTCTGAGGCAGGGCACACAGCCGCCACTTCTAAGGCCAGATAATCGGGCTGCATGTAAAGTGAAATTAATATTTTACTACCTGTTGTTACCGAATGGCAGCCCTGAGGTGCTGAGCAGAAGTTAATGATTAAATGCAACTCTGTGTTAGCTGAATGTACAGTTAACACGGCTACTGACAAGGATTTCAGCAGAGCTACTCCTGATTTCCTGAGATCAGAATCAAGCTCCTTTGATATATATGATCATAGCCAACAGAGATGGAAAGTTACTGCTAGGTCACTGAGTCAATGCACTGCAAAGACTGGATGTCATCCCACGGTGGGGGATGGAGTGGATATTAGACTAGGTGGTAGCAAGAGGGAGTTCCCACAGGAGTACAGCTGGAACAGGGAATGTTTATGCACAGAGAAATGAGCAGTGTGTCCAGAGTTCCCTGTGCTGCTAGTGAAGATATCTGTTTTTTGGCAAGCATTTTCCTCCCAGCCCAACCTCTTCTGCTGCCAGACACCAAAGCCGCCTGATTCTGATCCTGTAAATCAGGAGTAGCTCGGCTGAAGTCAGTGAACTTGAGCTGGTGTAAACCTGGTGCAGCTGAAATCAGAATCAGTCCAGGAGCTATTCTTCCAACTGCAGTCTCTCTCCTTCTCCCACCCTATGCTATATACCTCTTCCATGCTACCCCCTATGCTCTAAACTACCTCCACCTCATTGGCCACAAGTGACGCCTCCAAGCCACTTCCTTTACCTCCCCCCTTAAAAATCATGCTTTGCTCATGCTGCCCGTGCTGGTCCCCCTGCCTCCCAGTACTACCCGCTCCCACACTCACACCTTAATTCTTTGCATTGCACCTGTCTATGGCCCCAATCCTGCACTGAGCACTGGGCAAGCGGATCCATGCACTCTATGTAGAGCCCCATTGAAATTAATGGGGCTTCCTGTCATTCTGGGGTGTACGAACAGGAGTGTCGTATGTAAGACCCCAGAGATAATTGTTCAGCTCTACTCAGCATTGGGGAGGCCTCAGCTGGAGTCCTGTGTCCAGTTTTGGGCACTGCACTTTATGAAAGAGGTGGACAAATTGGAGAGAGTCCAGAGGAGAGTGACAAGAATAAGAGATTTAGAAAACATGAGCTATGGGGAAAGGTTGAAAGACCGGTGTATGTTTAGTCTAGAGAAGAGAAGGCGGGGAGGAGATCTGATAACAGTCTTAAAATATGTAAAAGGTTTTATAAAGAGGGTGGTGATCAATTGTTCTCCATGTTCACTGAGTGTAGGACAAGAAGTAATTGGATTAATTTGCAGCACGGGAGATTTAGGTGAGATATCAGGAAAAACCTAACTCTAACTTAACTATGAGTAGTTAAGCACTGGAACAGGCTTCCAAGGGAGGGTGTGGAATCCCCGTCACTGGAAGTTTTAAAGAACAGGTTAGACAAACTCCTGTCAGGAATGGTCTAGGTTTACTTGGTCCCGCCTCAGAACAGAGGGCAAGACTTGGTGACTTCTTTAGGTCCCTTCCAGTCCTAAATTTCTCTGATTCTTTGGGCACAAGGGTCTGCCCAGTTAAGCTCCAAATGAGAGGCTTGTGTTGCAATCAGTCAGTGGGAGGTATGCACCCATAACCTAGGGCAGAATGTGGTTCTTTAGACTGTGAACTCCGTGGGTGCAAAGTCTTCCTCTTGGAGAAGAGTCTGAACTAAAACCCCAGACCCAAACTTTGTAGCTGTGGGCCCGTCTTTATTTCCTGCGTGTCAGATTCCTCTGATTATGGTCTCATCATCTGTTTCTCTGGAAGCAATTGTGACCCCGTAATACAGTGCTGGACTCTGCTGGATCACATAACAGGAAGAGGGGAGTGGCGAAGTTCTCACTAACCATGATTCACTGGTGATACAAAAGCATATGTGCAAATTGATTCACACTCAAATAGCCTATGTTTGAAAGTTTCCCCAAGTTTAAATGTTCTTCTTTAAACTAAACAACAAAAATTGAGTCATCAGGTGCCATGACGTCAGTTAGTGGTTTTTCTGTCATGAATACCACTGTTTCCTGTTGTTTCCCAGTTCGACACTGTATATGTGTGTATATATACACACAGCTAGACAGAGCCACCTTAGAGAACCTTTCAAATGCAAAACAAGAGAAACCTACCAGTGCTGCTTCCTGTCTGGGCGCTTTCTGAAATGTTCGTCTCTTTGCAGCAGTCGTGAAGCAGAGGAGCAGATCCGGAGCGCTGTGCGTTTAATTTATGAGCCACTCCACGCTAAAAGGATGAAAACATGGGACTTAAGTTATCCTGCCTGAAAGGTAAGAATGCACTTCAGCCCTTGCATGTCTGTGTGGCCTACAGCACGCTCACCACTTGCTGTGTTGGGCAGAGTCAGAGTGCAATGTAACGTTCCTGGTTCCTCAAGGGTTTTTTCCACTGGGCTAGAAAAATCTCCAGCAACCTCAAAATATTTAGCAGGGTATAATTTACCTGGGAGCCACTAGGGCTCAGAATCCACAACTAGGAATGTTCTGGGGACAACCCCTTTAAGCTGGATAGGGCTGTTGGTAAAATTTGTAGCCATGCTGAGCATCTATTGCCCCTCTCAGGTTCCACAGCGTTGCCTCTTCTCCAGGGCAGAACTCCCATGACACAGGAGCCGATCCTCCCTCTTTTCCATCTCTCCCTTCAGAGAGGAGGCGCGGTCTTGTGCTTAAGGCACTGAACTGAGAGGCAGGAGATGTGGGTTCTTTCCAGCTCTGCTACCGACTCAGCCAAGTCAACCCGGGCCTCAGTTTCCCATCTGTAAAATCGGAATAATGCTCCTACTCTAGCCTATTTAGATTGTGAGTTCTTCGAGGCAGAGCCTGTCTCTTACTAAGTTCTAGTACAGCACCTAGCACAATGAGACGCCAATCTCAGCCGGAGCTTCCAGGTGCTACTGAAACATCAATAATAACAATCAGCTCATGTCATCGTCCAAAGGGGGCAGGGCAGTTCTGTAGAGATAACAGTCCTTATGAAGAACAAGAAAACACTGCTAGTCTCCTTCCCCCAAGAAGATTGAATGCTGGGTACAGCTATATGCTGGCAAACATGGTCTCCATAATTCAGGGTCAGTTACAACCATCCCACGCAAAGAATCTCTGTGTGGATCTGATGTGTAGTTGCCCCATGCCTCAGTTTCCTGCCCAGCAAAATTGTATCCTAGCTCAATAGCCCCAAGCCTGCCTCCTTCACAGAGAGCCAGGCCACTCCTGGCTGCAAACTGAGCAGCAATGGGGTTCACCCAGAGCTGCCCACGGAGCCACTTCCCTCCAGAGCTGTGTCTGCCTCTTTCTGTGGTGAGCAATGTTTATTGTACTCAGCATTTTCCCAGTGTGAGGGAGGGCACCCTGTGAAGTGGGTGAGTGTTGCTCTCCTTTTAGAGGCAGGGGAAGCTGAGGCAGAGACTTTCACTACGTGCATGGGGAGTCGGTGGCCACGTGGGGATTAGAACCCAGAACTTCCTAGCACCCAGCCCTGTGTTCAGGCCACCCGGGCAGTGGTACGTCCCACACAGGCAAGACTGCCTGGGAGGGAAAGATACCAGACCTGAATAGTGTAGGAGGGCAATGCTGCCAGCTCTTGGGGTTTGATCATGAGTCTCGTGCTATTTGGTGTTTTTGCTAAGAGTCCTGTGATTAGGGAAGGGTCTCAACTTTCAATTTAGAAAAAATAGTAAGTTTGAGCTCTCTGGGGGCAAGGGAGTGTCCTTTTGTCTGTATTTATGCAGCGCCTGGCACAATGGGCACCCGGGCCATTACTAGGGCTCCTTGGAGGTACCGCAACACAAATAATAAATAACAATTTTCACCTTCCTGGCTTGAAAATGTGACCTGGGGATGTTCAAAGCCCAGTTCCCCTCCCCCCAACCCCCCATCAGATTGGCTTAAAAATGATGAGATTTTAAAATAATCTCGTGATTTCGGGGGGCGGAGGGGGAGGGCTGCCTCGTGGTTTTTTGGCCACTCCGGGTTGGTGATGCAGGAATTGGCCAGCTGTGACTATGGGCAGAGGCATGGGCCCTCGCTCCAGCAGCAGATGCCTGGTGTTCGTATAGCTGGCACAACAGTGAGCTTTATGGCTGCAATAACCCGGGGGCGTTGGAGGCTGAAGGAAAGCTGGAGGCCGTTAGTGATTTATGTATATGACTTGCTAAAACCACAGCTGGCAAGAGCCCGCAGTGCTTGTCGCATGTCCCGGGGAACTGGCAGCCAGGCTGAGAGGCCAGGGACTGATGCACAGACTGGCTCGGAGCCCCCCTTTGCCAGCCAACAGGACTGTGGGTTTAATGAGGAAGGGGATGTGGAGCTCCCGCGGCTGTGGTGGGATATATCTCTGGCAAGGCTGATGCACACACCCTTCTGCTTTTGCAGACAAACCCACCCAGGAGGAGGAGCTCAGCCGGTGGCTGCAGCCGGCCCCTCCCCATGGCTTCCAAGGAAAGGTGGTGACTCACTGCTCCCTGGGGGATGGAAAGGGCCAGTGAGATCAGCCCCGGCCAGCTCCACACTGCAGCTGGGGTGGGACTGTTCCCTACAGGAAAGGCAATTTGTTAGTCTCTAAGGTGCCACAAGTACTCCTGTTCTTTTTGCAGATACAGACTAACACGGCTGCTACTCTGAAACCTAATGTTGCCAAGTGATTCATGGATGGGGCTTCCACCCCTTCCCCTGGAACATTGTTCAGTGATCTCACTGCCAGGGCATCTGCCCACCTGGTCGATTTGCTGCTGATCCTCCTCGGACCCCCCGTGCAGCCCCTGCTCCAGCTGGGCATCTGTACAAACGGGGGCTCTTTGTGAAGGGGCAATGCGCCTCGTCCAGAGTTTGAACCCAGGGCCTGTGGCACCCCCCAGCTGCGCCCCTCGACTGATGAGCTTTGTGACAAAACCGAGGGGAGGGGAGCCGACGCCCACACTTTGTCCACCAGGTGGCCGAGTCTGCCGGGGGCTCCTCTCGCCGGCTCCCAGTTCCCACATGGAACGGGGGGATGAGGGTTTGTTCAGACAGCTCCTCAGAGACGGCCACAGCAGCATTGAACCCCAGGCCAGCGGGAGGAAGCATCTCTCGGGAGCCCCAGAGAGGCAGGGAGCTCAGCTGCTAGGGGTGGGAGACGCGTACCTCTCAGGGGGACTGTGCTGGCAACCCTTGGCAGTGAACGGCTCTCAACAGCGACCCCTTCTGGCCAGCGGTTGGAGCAGTGCTCATGGGCTCAGATGGAGCACCCGTCCAGCCCTTCTTGGGTCAGAGATGGTCACCAAGACGCGGGACCTGAGTTGGGGAGGCCTCTCTCCCCACTATCTCTGAATGAACAGCTGCATGGGGGCTGCTCTGGGGAAGCTTGTTTGCAAAGCAGCAGCGAGCGCTCTAATGCACTCCGCTGTCTCAGTGGGCGAGTGCTGAATATTGCATCACCCATTAGCTTTTACGGCTGCTTGGCCAAGGGACTAGCCCAGTGCCAGGGAATGCTGTCAGCGCTAATGCAGAGCCCGAGGGCTGAGCCCTGGAAAGCTGCTGCCTCACGGTCCCAGGAGGGCTCCGTGCACAGCTGGTGTGTGCCAGTTCCCTCGGGCAGAAGCTCTGGGGAATGTGGCTTGAAAACTATCTCCCAGGAAGAAGCGGGGAAAAGCTGCCCCATGCCACACTGAACATACGGGTGATTTATCCTGGCTTTGGAGCCAATGCAGGTAAACAAGGTGTTTTGTCAAGCTGCCGGGGAACAGCACAGCCGTACCATGTGATCCAGCTCCCTGCAGCCAGCCTCATACCTGCCCCCATGCAACGTAACCCAGCATGTCCTCTGCCCCCAGAACAGCTAGTCCTCAATCCAGCGAATGTTTAACGTACAAATGGTGCTGAGCCACAAAGCCCAGATGCGGAGTCAGAGCCGGATCTAAACCTTCCCAGAGTTTGAGGGGTTCCCATATGGTTTTCTAGATCAGGCCGGTTATAAAGCTGGACCCCCGGGTCCCACAGCTTGGATCTGGAGTCAGACTTCCCCATTCTTCGGGGATGTTTGGGGCCTGCCTCTCTGGCTGTAAGCCCAGTAGGAGGGAAGATTTAAAGTACAGTCACGTCTCAATCTAATTCTAGCCCAGAAACTCCATGAGGATTTTGAATCTGAACTGAGATCCAGAACCGGGCTATGCAACTGGCCTCTCGCTAAGGGGACATCTACACTGCAGTCCAGAGGCATGACTGCAGCATGTGTAGACACACCCACGCTAGCGTTAATCCAGCTACTCAGATACAACAGCAGTGAAGCCGCAGCAGTGCGGGCTTCAGCATGGCCTGTACAAGCCATGGGACCCTGGGTAATAGGACCTGAAGTCCGTGCTGGTATCTTCATTGTTACAGGTTCTTCAGTTAGCTAGATCAAAGCCAGCTTGAGTATGTCTACACATGCTGCCACCCCACCTCCAAGCAAAGCTTCTGCTCCAGGCTGTCCTCTCCACTTGGAGCGGTGGGAGCTGGATCCCACCTTGTGCCTTGGGACCATTCTTAGATTTTGGCAAGATAAAGACGGGAGTAGAGAAGGGTCCCTAAATGAAAGAGAGACATCACCATCGCCCTGCAGGGTGCTGCGGATACAGGCGGGCAGAGGGTGCCCAGCACAATAGTGAGCTAGTGACAGACCAAGCTTCTTTCAGAGGAGGCTGGGTGGGGAAGATGGAGACCCCCGGGGGGGATCAGGGAGAAGGAATCCATGTTGGGGCTGATGGACGAAGATCAAGGAACATAGGTAGGGCCCTACCAAATTCACAGCTGTGAAAAACGTGTCCTGGACTGTGAAAACTGATCTTCCCTGTGAAATCTGGCACACAGCCAGCGGCTCCTACCCTGTGCAAGGCTCTAGCTGCTAGTCCTGGCTGGGGAGGGAGAGGGACGAGACCTCCTCTTCCCCTGCAGGAGTTGCTCCCCGGGCAGATCAGACCCCACCGCCGGGATCTCCCCTGGCTGCAGGAAGCTCAGCGGTTCCAACTGTCACCTCCCCACGTAGAGAGGCCGCGGCTCCAGCTGTCAGCCCCCCACTTGTGCGGGAGACAGCCAGGAAAACCAGACATATGGTAACCCTCCCCCCAGACCCTGCGACCCTCTCTTCTGTGCTGCTGGCTTTAGAGCTGGGTGCCGGCGTGCAGCCTTCCCAGCTCTGAAGGCAGCGCTCCTGCCAGCAGCAGGGCGGAAGTAAGGGTGGCAATCCCACGACCCCCCTACAATACCCTGGCGACCCTCTCCCCCACAACCGCATTTTGGGTCGGATCCCCCCCCCCAGT